AGAAGAATGGAAACAATGAGTGAATCAGAATATACCTGTTTTGTTTAAATCGGTTCGATCGGGTAACACTATGAAGTTAACATCAATACTTCAACCGAATGATTTACTGCACAGCTGGAAAACTATGGAATGAAAAATAGAAAGTAATTAAACGAACATTCAGATCAACAATTGTGGAAATTGACAACACAAAGTTCCAGCTAAAAAAATGCACAAAACGAATCGAAAATGGATGTATTTTCTATGTGATCCAACTGGTGCATACGGGACCGAAAACAAACAAACATAGAAATATTTTGATTAACTGCTTAAGGGCACCATGGAGACGGAGGGAAGATGATATACTTATTTTTCTGTCAAAGGTGGGATCGATTACCGGAAAGAAGCAAAAACGAACAATTAAAAGCATCTTCACACGAATTTCAAAGAAGAAGTTTGCATTCAATATCAAGAGAAGGCTGATATTTAAGATTCCATTTGATGCATGCATTAATCTGAAGCAAGTGAGAAACACAACAACCGAGTCTATCTTGGAAAACGTAAGTAATAACAAGTTAGCAAACGATTTGACAACTCGGATGCGTGTGATGTTTAAAAAATCAAAGACAGTCGGGGAAATATTACACAATCACAGACAGGTGCTTACACAAGCACCGGACTGTAATTGTGCAGTATTCTGACTTTAAAAAATTGAGAACCACATTGTCTGCAGATTAAGTGAAATCACAGAAAATCAGCTCTTGTGGAATGCAAAAAACGTACCCCATATGAACGAAAGAATTGGAAATGAAGAAATTAAAAGGACAATCATCATTACCATTGCAAGTATACCACGACCACTAAGGAAGAAAAGAGAAATTAAAATAGATGTCTCTACTTGCATCGAAAAGAAGAATGATATGTAAATTTTTCTTCACATATCAGAAGTATGGGAAGTAAAAAGAAGATTGACACAGTGTATCCTATCACCATTGGACATAAATCCTGGAGAAACTTTTGTAGAATGCCGTAAAATCTAGTACGAGAAGACCCGAAAATTCTTTCTGGAATCGAATCGAATCACTGCGAAATTATACAACAAACGGAATCTAAGATCACTCAATTGGCCAAAAATACGTATCATGGATGTGGGTTGAAGAAAATCGCAGAATGGGATGAACAGGGATCATACGAAAATGCGTATACAATTTCAAAAAACAAGGACGTCACCAGACGTCGACCAATTGTGTCGACATATACGGAGTCATCTTGGAAAGCATCGAAGGTACTATCAAGAGCTATCAACTTCATGTGTCAAGCATTGAAAGTTGGTTTCTCACTAAAAGGAACGAACCAACTACTACCTAGACTGAAGAAATGCAATCAAGTAGCAAAAGAAACATATGGGGATATGACTATGATAATCTGCTCTACATACGACGTCAAAGATATGTTTTCGAATCTCGATCACACACATATCTTAAACGTCATGCAATGGATGATGAAAATGGCGAAAGAAAAACGAAAAACTCACTTTTGTTACAAGATGAGAAGAAAGTACATGAACTTTGGAAAAGCAAACGGAACCTACGAATGAAGAACATTAAAAATTGAGTGCCTAATGAATCTGTTGTACTATGGCATCAAACACGCATACTTCAAACTTCAAAGTACAAGAAACATTATTATGCTAAGTAATGGGGATACCAATGGGGAAGGGCTCTAGCCCACTCATTGCCAACATGGTATGCGCGTTCGACGAATAAAGATGGTGTGCGCAGACTGGAATTGATGAGAAACTTATGCACGATATGAGTTTTGTGGACGATGTAATGATGATCATAATATCAAGTAAGGAAGATCAAACGAAAGAGTTGGAATGTTTGAATTTTTTTCAAACATGCTACCACCAATCTCTAAAACTTGAAATCATATAAGACAACGCGAACACAGAATGAACATATATAGAAACAAGGGTGACGAAATCAATCAACGAAAAAAATCATAAGATATGATGAAAGTAGCTCCAGATTAAAGGCATGTTGGAAATCGACGACGACAAGAACAACACAGAGCGCGACTGCGGGAGATCCTGAGGATAGATGATGAGTACACTGCAAGGATAGAGAAAGTGGCGGAGAATGACTGAGAACGAAGGGTATAAATACTGAGGATAGTGGCTGAAATGATTATCTAAGCAGTGAGGTAGAAGGGTAATCGCGACTGGTCTCGCATGCCATGGACATTACGTGTATGCTGTGAAAGTTAAACTTCGCACGTTCTGTCTACATTTGCATGTGTTTCTCTCTCTCTCTCTCTCTCTCTCTCTCTCTCTCTCTCTCTCTCTCTCTCTCTCTCTCTCTTATCAACAAATGGAACAAAACTTTCTCTCTTTCTCTCTCTCTCTCTCTCTCTCTGGTAGCCCCCCCCCTCCCTCTCTCTCTATTTCTTTCTCTCTCTCACACTCGTAACAATAAATGAAACAAAAATCTCTCTCTCTCTCTCTCTCTCTCTCTCTCTCTCTCTCTCTCTCTCTCTCTCTCTCTCTCTCTCTCTCTCTCTCNTCTCTCTCTCTCTCTCTCTCTCTCTCTCTCTCTCTCTCTCTCTCTCTCTCTCTCTCTCTCGTGTTAGCTCTTAGTCTCATTGATTTGGCTACCTTAGGGCTGCGTTCCCCGTGCCCACACGGTAGACAATAGTATACTTTCTCAATCATATTTTCAGACAGATAGATAGTAGTATATTTTAAAGGATGGGATCACACGTGTCAAACGGTCAATATACTTGTACGTTTCCTGCCTCCAAAACCCCATCCGGGCTCCGCTTGAGCCAGTGAGATTAGATATAGAATAAGAAAGGTAGAGATAGAGGTCATTGAGGGACTCGTTCGACACTCCTCGGGCGCGTAAAGTCCCCGAGGAATTGTTCGTTCCACCTGATGCAGTCGGAAAAAAAAAGTGAAAACACTCCGAAGGAAATTCCTTGGGCTCCGAGGATTCCCCAGTCATTTTTTCCTTTTGCCCAAGGGACCTCACGAGGTCCCTTGGGCAAAAGGAATCCGCGTTTCATGGAGAGGAGCGGACACATGGGTAGAGAGACGTTACAACCGAGAATCTGGATCGTGGCGACACCCTATTGGCTGAAGGCCTCAGACACATGCGAATTTTTTTATTTTTTTTCTTGTCTGACATCGTTCGAAGGAAATGTCCTCGGGCGACGTTGTCCCCGAGGACAGGCGGAACGATGGTGGGAATTTCCTTGAAAACCCCCAAGGAAACTTCCTTCGGCCCTGAGGATGCCCCAAGGAGTGTCGAACGAGCCCCTGAGTCACTTAGATACAAGAAGGGTTCTCTTAGACTCGTGTGAGAGGGCCTTGTTGTCTTCAGTCGCCTGAGGGCCCTGCAATGATGGCAGAAAATGTAGTGAAGATGGCCAAATAATGGTCAAAGTGCAGAGTACAAGCCCTCTGACAACCCTCCAAGTCGCAGCAGTGCCCCCCCTGCAGGGTCTGGTCTCCCTCCTAAAGCCACAATGCCTCCCCTCTGGCAAAACCGCGGCTATGCAGCCTGCTGCTCGGATCTCTCCCCAACCCACGGGGTAGGTTTGCACCACAGGAGTGGTGCCAGAGCAAGGCTGTACCAGCCCCTCATCACGGTGATGCGGGGTGGGCAGCGATTGCCGATGGGGGAAACGGCGGTGCTTTCGGTAGTGCCGAGTACTATGGCCAGCTGCTGCACGTCCCCCTACCCCCCCCCCCAATCCCACATTGGCCTCACG